TTATGCTAGTGTCGTGGTTTAAGCTACACCCCGCCTTCGCACGGGTGATTTCGGAGTCTCAGCAATAGCGCTACCTACCGGGTCCTATTGAGTTTTTAAACCATTCATTTTTTTTTTCATTTTAAACCATTTTTATATCATTCACCCACTACTATTCACACTAAATACACACAAAAAATTCGTCAAACTATTTTAATCAAGAAGACGACTGAACCAATCCTGCATCTCAGATGCAAAGAGTGGTGATAAGCTACGAAAAATACTCATTACCTCAAAAGTTAGTAAGAATAATATGATAAACTTGAATAGAGGTGCGGATTGTTCAATATAGAACTGAAGATTATACTGTTACGAGCTTAGGGTTCGTGACAATAAAAACTGCAGATTGAATTACCAAAATTGACACTTTAATTACCGAACACCAATTAAAACTTAAAACACACTAATAATCAATCAAACTTAACAATTTAGTTCACTTTATTTCGCTTCTGAGTCTTCGCTTGTGTCGCCAATTCAATACTGTCCCGGTCGCGGGTCGCGGCCCTTAAGGCTTTTATATAGGGCCTCTTCCATTGAATCATTTAGAATGTTCAAGCAGAATGTCGAAAGTTCTAGCATCGAATTTTCTAGAAAGCTCTACTAGTTTTGCTACTCCATACTAGATGGCGCTAGTGAATTTTCAAGAAAGATCTCGCTCCTATTTCTGCTACTTGATACTAGATAGCGCCAAAAATAACCCGCCATGCACCGGGCATTAATCATGGCACGCAACAATACTATATCTATAGTATCTGCATATTATCTAGTAATTCTTATTAGTTTGTAACTTTGAGTATTCAACCAATTATACTCAAAGGTTTGTGACATTATCTAATGAGTGCGAATAGTTAATCTCCCGCTCAATAGATGTCGCTAGTTGACAATGAAGTGAAGTTTTTTTGTATGTATTTAATTACTCTCTAAGTTTTTTTGTTACACAATGTCATTTGATTCAGAAATTGGTTTTAAAAAAAGTTTATCAGTTACTAGAGTATTATACACAGAGTACCTTTGTTTAAACTGAGTATTAATATTAATACACAAAACAATGCCTCAATGGTTTTCTCTTTGGTTTTTTTGCACATTATTAACTCTTTTTTTAAATTTTCTACTTTTATGAATAACTGTGTATATAACTCATAGTGCGGGAAAAAACATTAAACTGTATATTTTTTGAACAAATTAACTTTCCCACTATGGAGTAGTACCTCTACCCCACTATGAAATCTGTCAAATATTACACCATAGATTACACCTAAAATACAGAGTACTTTTTATATGTATATTACACCTCATTTTTAAGTGGCGCCGACCTGGTGGCAGAAAAAGTTACGGATGCTTTGATATCATCAGTGCTGCCATTTCAGCATCTCTAGCGCTAGATCTAGTGCAATTCTGGGGTCTATAGCGGTTTTTTTAAAATATCTAAGCTCTAAAAAATATCTAGTAGAATCTGAAGGAAAATTTGATATTAGTTGGCAGGCCAGTGTAAAAAAACAATAGCGAGTCTATAGTTCCAGTATTCTCTGACCAAAATGTTGCTGATGTGTTTATTGTTTTATCTCCCTTTTGCATTGTGGTATTATGTAGCTGGTTTGCTTTTCATTATTTTAATCCTCTAAGCTTTAACTCCTGAGAGTTTCCTATTAGTCTTTTAGCTCAGTTTTGTTTGTATCGTGAAAATTTTAAATGGAAGTGTCACCGAGGAAGAGGGCTTATAGCCAGAAATATAGATCTGAGTGATGTGAGGTGATGGCGGCGATGATATAATGAAATTTTAGACTCGACTTGAGTCCTCCAGATACAAAAATGCGGCTAGGATGAATGCCTTTCGGGAATTAGTGGACTTAGCTTTCAGCGGGCTGTCTCTCCCAGATACAAACACCGAAGTAAAGCGGATTTTCGACATTATGAACATTGTCGAAAGTAAGCTACTAACTAAAGTAAGATATCAGCTTAAGCAGTTAACCCAAATATAATGATACGTCATCAATAAAAAAAATATTAAGCAAAGTTGACACACATAAAACTTACCTGAATATGTCCTCGACAAATTACTAAAACTGTGAAAAAAGAAATAGAAGCAGATTGAGGCCCATCATTGGCATCTGGAGGTGATAGTGACTCTAAAGGCATAGTGGAATTGTCTAATTTAGTTGATTTTAGTACCTAATATTACTTAAGAAATGAAGATGTTTTAAAATAATCGCATTTATTCTTATTTCCTTATGCATTTACAAGATACAACTTAGCGGAATTTAGTGGATTTTAGAAAACAGATTTTTTTAAAATATAGCGCAATTTTGATAAGGATTTAGTGCATCTTCTTTTCTTCATACGGCAACACTGACACTCATATCAGCTACCGTCAGCTACCTACGATCACACAAACGTTCAGAAGTTTGGACTGGGCATACCTACAAAATTAGCGTGACACAAAATACAAAAATCTGGCGCATAAAATGGCCGCCTTTTATAGGGTTGTAACTCTGCAATATGCGCAGCTGATATCGATATTTTAACTAATATGATTTTTTTTTTCTCATTTTATATAATTGGATTTGTTGCTTAATTTACTTTATTCCGTAGGTATTTACATAGATACAGGGCTGAATATTCAATCGTCAAATAACTAATCTGGCGAATAAATGTGACTGACTGATTTATGGCTTTTGTGTAGATAGAAATTTAATCCTTCTTTTGTGTTGAAAGTATTACTGGGATGGTGATCCCAGATCCCATATTATTAATGTAAAATAATAATGATTAGTTGAGTAAAAATGAAATAAATTGTTTTAAAAATCAATACTTAATTATTAATAATTTTTCTGCACATAATTTATCACAAATAGTAAGTTATACAAGCAAGTTGTATATCATATTTTATTTATTCATTCGGATTGTAATGAAAAATATTATCAAATTTCTAAAAATTCGAAAATCTGGCATGATCACGAAATATGATATGCAGGATAACATCCTGGATATCATATTTCATCCACCATTTCATGATCATGATAGATTTTTATATAAACTATTATTATTATTATTTGTTCATTTCTGAACAAAATTATTTTTTAATATATTTTCTAAAAGACAGTTTGTCACTGCTTCTTCTTGCATGGTATCTGAACCTTTTTCTGCCACAAATCCCGCAATATATTCTAATACAGCAATTGATAAGGTTTTTTAATAATTTAAATAACGACTCTAATAGGGGCATACTGAAGACCACTCCTGAAAATTTTTGTTTTTTTTCCCCCAACTAGTAGCGACAAACATACATATAATTAAAACATACATAAATAAAGATAATAACCCCTTGGAAGGGTGATCGCTACCAAGCTATTTCTAATTTGTCTTGTGTTGTTGATTGTAAACATGATTGTAAGCTATTATTAAAAAAAAATAGTCCCGCTGGATTTCTTGCTGGTTCTTCCCAGGACAGAGGTTTTTTTCGAACCAGTGGTAAATTAAAAAAGTGACTTTCAATAAGTATTTTTATAATCTACATTGAATAAAAAAGTTTCTATTTCTATTTCTATATACTGTTATTTTTTATAATTACAAAACTTCTTAGCAGGTTTTTATTGGCCAAATAAATTACAAAATTATGCATCTTACATAAAGTAATAATTAAAAAATACATCCCTATCATAACACTTGAAATAAACTGTAAGACACTTATTTGACATAATAAAATATAAATAGAAGAAAAACACCTACTATATAACAGTTTGACAGCAGATCTACCACAAAACTCAGCGCGACGCAGTCACGCATGGATGAGCTAATGACGTCACACGAAAGTGTTGTCAAAATAAGCAATTGACAAACTGTTGTTGTCTCCCTTTTATAATGAAGCTACTGCTTTGTTAAAAAGAAACAAAAGTATTTTTGACAAGTATGTGTCGATATTATAGATATTTGTATAACTATTGGGTGCGTTTGGCAGAAAAAAGCGCTAGCAAGCGCTTATAAGCGCTAAAATAGTTTTCGGCCAGGACACGATTGCTACTTCAGTAGCGCTGACACAATCCGCCATTTTGCTTATTTAATTTGTTTGTTTTGAAGTAGAGTTTATAAGTTGTTTTGTGCAATATTAGTTTTAAGTAATATAATGACATGAATAAACATGTATATGCTATTAAAAACTCATGATTGGTAAGTTTTTAATATGAATACTTTACAAACATATATTAAAATTAGGTTAGATTCCCCGGTTAAAACTAACATCGTGTCATGGAGGAAAATAGCTATTTACGATTTAACAGCGCTCACCGCTTACAATCGCCATTTTGCTTACAAGCGCTTGCAAGCGCTTTTTTCTGCCAAACGCACCCATTATTTCTATAGTAGAATACGCCGCCTCCATAGGTATTATATCTCTATGTCTCATTTAGTAAAATCATTTTAAAATTTTTAATTAAAATATTCCTATCTAAATGATGGCGGTATAAAAGAAGGGTGGCTGGGCGTAAATCTTTTATAGCTTTTATATTATTCTTGCGCGTTTTTTCTCCCAAACGCACCCTTAGAAGTTGTTCCAAAGTTCACCTGTCAGATCAAAAATCAGATGTCAAAATCAAAAACAATTTGACAAGGAAAATCAACATCAAACAGCTACTGAACAAGGTGTTCGTGTTCATGTGCAAGTTTTTGTACAAAAGAATTGTTTATTTGTTTTATAATCAAACATAAATTAATAAACAGTGCTACGCTGCTTGTAAAAAATATATTTATAGCATAATATACGGACTTACATTGATATAATTTATATCGTTGTTTGTATATTTGCTCGGGCACAAGTTTCTCGTTAATATAAGTAATAGATTTAGTATTTATGCATCGTCTTTTGATAAATTTTAATGTACTAGTATAATTTTAAAATGTTATTCAGATATCTTGCCCAATCGACATTTAAAAGATCTTTTCACGTATCAACAAAATTAAATCAAGCAATGGGAATCGATGGTAACAACATCTTAGCTGAAAGCTTAAAAAAACAGGTAGGACCATTTTGTCATTAGATCTTCAGTTCTTTTTTTACATCGTTTTTTCGCTTAATGACATAAACACTGAATAAATTACTATTATTTCCCCTGTTTTGATAATGCAATCAGACTTATACCTTTAATTAACAGGGCGTGGAATATGTGTTTGGTATAGTGGGTATACCGGTGATTGAAACATCTTTAGCATTTCAAGCTGCTGGATTGAAATATGTAGGAATGCGTAATGAACAAGCAGCATGTTATGCAGCGCAAGCAATTGGTTATCTTACTGGTAAGTTCTTTGTACTTGATAACCAGCATTCTGAATCCACTAATGAATTGATCCATACTAAAAATGCATCAAATAACACTTTTCTTAAAATATCCATTCTTAGTTACTGCACTTATAAGGCCGGTTATAATATATAGAACCAATACTTCAGCACTGGTTACTAACTGGTACTGGTGCTGTTGCCATGTTCGGACCATTTTGGAGGATTGGTTTAGTCTAATTTACTTTCATCAGTTTCTAGAGCCTTATTAGTTAACATTGCAAAGGTATGTTTACCATAAGGGGGTAAGCTTAGCACTTTGCCCATAATTTATTTCCAAGGCGCTCCACTTAGCCCGATCTTCGGCTACACACATCCAGTTTCTACCAGCCACTTTGCGCAGATCGTCGCTGATACTCTTTAATATGTGCCAAAGAAATCTTTAATTTATAATAGATTATTTTCTACAACTTTACTTTAACTTTGGTATTTAAGCTCACTGAAGGGTTGTTAGTAAGTGTAGTGTTATCTATACATATGATACTTAATAATTATGTTCAGTGCAGTTGAAGACAGGTTTAATAACCAATATCTAGGATACATTGTCTATCTTGTTAATTAAGATAGAGATTTACACTTTCCTTATCCTTTTACTAAATTTAACTACTTATACTAATTTGTAAGCAAAAAATGGTCAATCATTTCATTTAAAATTGCCCTTAATAACATATAGCATATATAATGCCCTTAATAACATATATAAATCTAAAGAGATTAAATGAATTCAAACTTAATATTGAATTCAAGCTTAATTCTTTTTTTTGCCAGCATAAATATACTGGTCACAAGCCTTAAGTATTAGAAAAAAAAATTGAACCACTCTTGACAAGCAAATAATGCTGCAATACCAAACATCTTGCATTTGCATTGATATTTTACATCTGAACTAAATGCTGCTACTGCCATTTATTGGGAGGCACAAAATAGAATTAAATTTCCCTAAGTCACATCTTACATCTCCGGAAATAGGTTTTCTTATGCTGCTACCACAAAATGATAGGGGTTGGATATAATTTATATTTTATTTTAGGAAAGCCAGGTGTATGCTTGGCTGTCTCAGGGCCTGGTCTCCTTCACTGCATTGGAGGTATGGCCAATGCCCAAGTGAATTGTTGGCCATTACTTGTCATCGCCGGGTCTTGTCCAGAAGACCATGAAGGTATAGGAGGCTTTCAAGAATGGCTTCAGGTACAGTTGTATGTTAATTAATAATGTTATAAATATTAATTATAATATTATACTTATATACTAGGTCTTTACCTATGAAATTGGTGTTGTTTATAAAATATTTTTTATTTCTATTAATCAAAGTAATCACCCATGCAATTGATGCATCGCTGTCTATGGCTTCAGGTACAGTTGTATGTTAATTAATAATGTTATATAAAATATTTTTTATTTCTATTAATCAAAGTAATCACCCGTGCAATTGATGCATCGCTGTCTATGGCTTCAGGTACAGTTGTATGTTAATTAATAATGTTATAAATATTAATTATAATATTATACTTATATACTAGGTCTTTACCTATGAAATTGGTGTTGTTTATAAAATATTTTTTATTTCTATTAATCAAAGTAATCACCCATACAATTGATGCATCACTGTCTATGCGGTGGCAGTTTATTGATGCCCTTATTGAAGAAGTCAGCTGGACAGGACGCAACAAATTCTTCAAAGGCATTTTGTCCTGCCTTTGGGAAATTGAGTTTTTTTCCCGCCAAAAAGTTGTACAAAATTCTGGAAGAAGTAGAAGTCTAAGCACAGTATCTGGTGAGTACGGCTTATGATGGACAGCTTCCAATCCTAGCTCTTGTAACTTGTTTTAACATTACCAATATTGTTTTAACACTAATGTCGAAAGCTGCTGCTAATTCAGCCGCAGATTGAGCATAATTAGCTTCCACAATCGCCTTTAATTTGTCATTGTCGGCCAAGGCTTTGTACGACCACAGGGTTTATTTATCAAGTCGAAATGCCAGGAACGGAAGCGGGCAAACCAATTACAGGTGGTGCATTCATTTGTAGTATTCGCTCCGTAAACGTCGTTTGATATTGCGTGCTGCTTAAGCCGCGTTGCTGCCACGACGGTGCTCATATTCCGTAATTACTCGAATTTTTAACGTATCCATGATAACGAAAAAGATACAGATGCGATGAAAACATAACGCTAATAAATAAACAAATTACTAATTTTGGAAATGAATTCCATGTTTTAAAAAAAAAGTAATTTTAAATTAGAAATCTTAGCAAACAAAAATTATTTTAATTTTAAATGACCAGTACAGCGGAACGAAAATTTCATAGGTAAAGACCTATTAACAAAATAATAATTCTATAGTGACTTATACAAAAAAAAATATAGGGTTTTGAAAACCTTATGAAGTCTCTGACTCATAAGCTAGGTAAAAAACCTGTGTTACAGGAATCAAGTGTCCTATCCCAAAGGTTTAAAAAAAATAGTTTACTTCCTTATGCTAATTACTCATTATCATCATACTAAGGCTGTACGAAGCCATTCCCTTAAACGTAACACTTGGCAGGCAGATTGAAATTGCAGGACCAGATGTCTTGCACTTTTGATGCTGCTTCCCATCATGAGTATTTTACCTATAGACAATTTATTTCATATATTTTTGTCATATACTAAAGATAATTGAATATTACATCTCCTGTAGGTTGAACAAGATAAGTTATCAATAGTGATAATATAATTTTTGTTCAGCCCAAGTTGCAAAATATTTTGTATTATCAAATATTATGAAAAATAAATTTGTGATATCTACTTGTGTATATTAAAATGATAAGGTTACCTATTTATCTTTTCGTGTTGATATAAATATTTGTATGTGCATTCTGTGCATAAATTTTATGACATTAAAAATACTACTAAAATTAAAATGGCAGGAAGTTAAGCTAGTTATGTCAAGTCACCCAATTCAAACTATCAAAATACTTTAACAATAAATTTACTAAATCAGATCATGAATTGTTTTTGAGAAATATTTTACTGATATTCCAATCTTAAGAACAAAGTCCTAACTATTATTGAATCATATGTGTTTCGTAATGTAATTAAGTATAGTGAAGTCATACCTTTATTTAAATCTGATAGTATATTACCGTAACCGCCTATTACGACACTCACTGGATGATATAGGGTAGTAGATATTCTTAGAACGGCACTACACGGCTAGTCGGCTAGCAGCCTCGAGGGAAGCCAGGCTACCAAGCTGCTTAATAAATGTTGGTTCTCCCACAAATTTCACACCTATTTCGGTTCTGCAAACACAGTAAAAAATGATTTTTGTATAAAATGTCTGTTTTAAATGAATAATTAGCTTTATATAAATCACTTCGATTTTACACAGGGTCGCTCGATGACTGTGCTGTTGTTGATCTGATTAAACATATTTTCAATGCACACGAGAATTCACAGGATGCTTTGGGTATATTTTGTGACTTATCTAAAGCATTTGATTGTGTTCACCATGAAACATTAGCCAGGAATTATTAATGTTAAAAGTTCTTCCAGTTCGGTATTTAGGCTGCGCTGAAAAAAGAATCGGGTATTCTCATAATTTTGTTCGGGGGTATATTGCTCACCAGTGTCCGTCCCTAGGCCCGTCGCCCAACCAAATTTAATTGGCTTTCCTCAGGGTTAAATTCTCGGTCACTTTCGTTTTCTTTTCTATAATAATGACTTGTCTTATAGAGTAGGGAGTTAATTCATAGTTCATTAATATTCAAAGTTCAAACTGAAATGACAATTACTAAAATATGACAAAGTGAATAATGGTAATCTACATTGGTTTAATTTAATTTATAACAGCAAATTTATTGTTAATTAAGAAAAAATACTATTGTAATTTTAACACAACATCATATCAGCTCAGAACACCAGCGTAAAATAGCAGCTTATAGCTGCTGTGTTTCGTATGGTGAGTGTAGGGAACCGGAGACCCTTTTTACTGGAAACGAGGCAATCCATCTTAGTCCTCAGGGGTTACAACGCACCTGCATTTTGAATCGATTACGACAGCCGCGGGTAGATATGGGTTAGTGGATATTCTTAACCGCCGCTACATGGCAAGGTTGATTTTTGATTACTGCAGCTGTAAAAATTTATGCAAAGTAAGTATACACATATCTCAATTCTACCTTTCAACTTCTAAAATTACAGTTTAGTGGTCGTTTTTCATAGGAAGTGGTAGTCAGTTACCATCAGATTAACCGAATGCTCATTTATTACCTTTCTTCTATAAAAAGTAAAAATGCGTGATTTATGTCAATTATCTGGAAAAGGGTAGAAAATAAAATTTCTAAAATTGAAAAAGAAAACTTAAAATGCTTTTTATAAATAGCCAAGTGTGTATTTCATATTTTTGTTTGTTGCACACACTTTGTAAAGGTCAAGCTGAAAAAAGTCTTAAAATTTTAAATTTCTTAAATGTTACTAAACGACATTTTAGAGTTTTGGTAATAATGAATCAGTAATAATCATTATGTCCTTAATGTTTATAAATTATTCATAAAATATAAAACCCTTGTGAATAAAGTCACAGACACGCTTATTTCAATTGAACTCTTGAACTGCCCCTGCGAAACCTATCACAGATCTGCAGTAGAAACCTAAAACTGCTTCATAAAGATATTAATATTCAATTAGCAACCATCCGCTTAAATAAATACAATGATGTGCCTTACCTGGATTGAAGAGCACCTCCCGCCCTCCCTCAATTGCGTGCACTAATCCCGTCACCGCTAGTCCCAGCACCACTAGTCCCAGCACCACTACTCCCACCATCACTACTCCCGGCACCACTACTCCCAACACCACTACTCCCGGCACCACTACTCCCAACACCACTATTCCAGGAAAGACACACCATCGTAGATAATAAGACACGTGTTTCGCTTCTACACGAGGCATCTTCAGATGATGTAGACTCTACGGCGGCTGACCGCTAAGTCTCTTAGTGTGACCGCTGAAGGAGGGCGGGAGGTGCTCTTCAATCCAGGTAACACACATCATTGTATTTATTTAAGCGGACAGTTGCTAATTGAATATTAATATCTTTATTATAATGAATTTCCGCAAAGTAACGCCTAATTTTATCAATTATCTTAAAACTGCTTCGTCTCTTATGCGAAATTTTACAATTTTATCGTCATTTATGTAGGTTGAATCAAGTCGTATGTACTGCAAATATGCAGCAAGACCGCCGTCGCCACGCCTCATACCGCTTCATGTAGAAAAAGCAGTTCGTCTTGCATCGGCTGGACGTCCCGGAGTCTCCTACCTCGATATGCCTGCAACGCTACTCACGGTAAACCAATGTTTGTGCGTAATACATGTAGAAATTCTAGTTTGTTTGCTAGATCTCGTTGTGTTTTAAGACTGCATCCTAACCTGTCCCGATCTTACCGTATAAATGTTACATTGTGCACTTTTTATTGTTAAATCTTTGTCCTCAAGTGTGACTACACATCTAAATTTAGATTCTTCATCGAGTAAAAACGTAGGTGGACCATCAGAGGGACTGTGTACTCATTTGTCAATCTGACGCATAAAAAGGCCCCATCAGCTGTGATGAGTTAATTTACCTGCCTGCTTCCAGTTTACTATTCACTCAGCAGTAATCAATTATAGAGTATAATAATTATTATTGTAGCCTATCGCAGTCTACTGCTGAACATAGGCCCACGCCATAGATTACTTTATAGAATATTTTTCATAGTTGCCTTTCTCACAAACCAAATACGCAAGACAAATTAGTAATGTTATTTGCAGGACAAGAGCCTTTTCTAAGTTTGGAAGACGTCAGTCTGTTTGCGAGACAATTCGTAATGATTCTCGAATGTAACACGTAGATGCGGCTCAAAAGGAAAACTGTCTGTAGTTCTTCAGTAGAGCGTTTTTGCCTTTTTTGAAGAGTAAGAACACCGCACTCCTGATCCACGCCACAATGGCGGTCGGGTTTAAAAGCTTCTGAAAGACTGAGTGAAATTTTTCCATCCGTTTTCTGTTTTGTATTTATACTTCAACTTCACTTCAGTATAATTTCCTTGCGCTGGACCTTGAAGTTATTAAGGTACTAGAGAGCCTTCCTATTTAGGCTCAAACCGACGCCCAGAATTCCGGGATATTATTGGAATAGAGTCAAATAAGACTTGCTCTTGGATCTTAGTTGCACGGGCAGCAAGTGTAGCTGTCCGTGCAACCTCTCAATCTTCCTCTGAACCTTCGAAAAAATTCTATAATGTTTTTTTATTTTCTAGGCAGAGGCAGAGGAAGATAAGGTGCCTCTGGACTATTACAATGCTAGTCCTATCAAGCTTGCACATCCTGACCCAACTTTAGTGGATCAAGCAGTAGATTTGCTTTCCAAAGCCGAACGCCCTTTGATTATCATAGGCAAGGGTGCAGCATATGGCAGAGCGGAAGAGGCCGTGAGAAAGCTAGTAGAGAATACAAAAATACCATTCCTGCCTACTCCAATGGGTGAGTTGAAACAATAAAATCTCTTTAAAGCTATACTTAAAGTAATTCAAGGGAGAATTCATCTGATACTGGCAATTAAACATAATTACACAACCGATATTTCCAACATTGGTGCAGATTTTGTCCAAAAGTGTAATTTCTGTTTGAATTTTAGACCACAGTAACAACTACCCATACTAATGTTAAACACCCGCTGCCCGCGGTGTTATATTTATTAATTTAATTGATAGTTTCAAACAGTATTATACTAATGTTTTTTTTTTTTTTTTTTTTTTTGATTAGGGTGACAAACGAGCACACAGTCCACCTGATGGTAAGTGGTTGCTTCGGCCCATAGACATCTATATCCATCCTCCATTAAAAATCAAAATGCAGATGCGTTGTCACCCGTGAGGACTGAGATGGAATGCCTCGTTTCCAGTAAAAAGGGTCTCCGGTTCTCTACACTCACCATACGAAATACAGCAGCATTAAACAGCAGCAAAATTGTTAAAACAAAACACGGCAGGCCTACTGTAAGGCCCGTAAGTGCGACAGAGAGCGCAAAGTATAATACCACAGAACAAATAATTGTACTACGTACAGAAGTTTGACTCTTTTGATGTTGATTTCTTGTCTGCCATAATTATTATTAATAAGATAAATTGCGCACGCAAGCTAGATTAACCTTTATCGCTGCGCGCGAGTGTCCGTATTACTTTGCATCTTTTCCCATTCCCACATCACGGCTGTTTTACCGTGGTTACTTAGGGCTGTCATGAATATATTAAAAACATATTATTACACATGTAAGTGGGTACTTATTATTATTAAGCTTATAATATGTATTAATATATGCTCATTTATCTACTATTTATGCACACTTCTGTTTACGGATTTCCTTCACCAAGGCATAGAATAAATAATATGTAGTGCTACTCGTACGTTACCGAGGTTTGCCTGGAAGAGATCACTGTTAAGCGATGAGGCCACCTAATTGTACATAAATTTATATTTTGTGTGCAATAAATAGTATAAATAAATAAATAATGGTAAGGTACCTATAATATTCTGACTGATCGAATGAACATATTTTTGCTACTGTGCGAGTTCTGTGCCTAACGCATGCAACATGCAAGGTCACTCGTCGCGAATCGCGATTTAATAAATCGCTGGGAAGAAATAGGTGGGTAGTGTAAACTACAAATAAACCTAAAATACGATTCCTAAATGAAATATGATTGTATTCTAATAAGTTAAAAATCTTGTAAACAAAGTTTTTATTTTAGTGCTTTGTGATAACTTAAAATATTTTAATTACAAAAGACATGTAAGTTACCTACTTCAATTTACATACGTAAATTTCGTAAGTTACCTACGTAAATTTGAACTAAGTTTTGTAATAAAGTACTTAGGTAGGTATTACTTCTGTATTGAAATTACTACTAATATAATATATTAATTCTTTTTTGCTATAAGTATTTCCTTAGGTAACTTAAAAAATGATACATCTGAATCCTTTTGTTGGCTCATTATGCATCCATCCACGCAACAATTATTGTAGGTTCGAAGTTTTGCCATTATAATTTATCAAATAGATAGGTAATATTTTTAAATCACATAAAAAATATTTGAACTATTTTATCCTACAATTAAATACTATACAAAAATTATAACAAGTGTTTACAAAAAACTATTTACGTAAACAGCGTTAAAAATACATCAATCGCCTAGAACGCGCTAACCCCGACTGCGTATTACACCCTGGGTAAATCGCGATGTTAGGTAATTATTTCACGCAGGTAGCAAGAGTGACAAAGGCCTGGTAATACTGTCTGAAACTATCAATCAAAATAATAAATATAATATAGTGTCACAAGTGAAAACCTAAATAACTTACTCGTTTTGGCTTTTTTTTCTCGGTGGGAAATTTCTCGCACACCTTCCCAGTGCTTAAAGTATAAAATTCTGCGGTGTCTGACTGCGGTCCTCACGTTTATCGCTTAGCGGCAAATTCACTCACACTGGCGACCTGTCCTCGGAGGAGGACAATTCCAGTCCTATCCATTTTGCTCAAAGCCAAGCAAGCGCGCTATTCTACTCTACCTTTATCTCACGGGAGAATGGGAAAACGAGCACTTTGAAATACCGAGTACTTCAAACCCAGCGGCGCAAATTCTCTATTACTACATTGCCGAGAATGTTCTTGTAAACTCCAACACTGCTCTCACCTGCGACTCCATCCCAGCACAGATTATTAAGAATAATCCTGAGAGTACCTTCGTGGGTTTGTTAATACAGTCATCGATTACTCAATTAACTGTATAGTTCTATTTTTCTTTGCAATGTGCGTCAAATTACAAAAAGTATAAAAAATTATAATTATACCTCATTTTATAGAAAATTGAATGAACGAACTGGTTGAACTTACATGCAACTACTGTGAAAGTATATTCTTTTATAAATTTGCAACTTGCCTTGTGAATCAAAGATTTAAATCGTTAGATGCGCCTTTAGCTTGAAAAACTGTGCATCATTTTTGAATGTTCGCGTTTGCAAGAAGCTGACGCGCGCACACTATTGCGTGCGGTAACACGGCATTTCCGTCTGTCTATTTATAGATGTAAAGTAAAAGTAAAGTTACAGCCTATATACGTCCCACTGCTGGGCTCAGGCCTCCCCTCATTTCTGAGAGGGTTTAGGGCGAGGAAGTGTCCGCCGCGCTGCCTAAAATGCGTGTTGACGAACTTCACATGTCTTAGAAATATTTTTTTTCTTATTCCTCAGACATGCAGGTTTCCTCACGATGTTTTCCTTCACCGCCGAGCACGTGGTAAATCAGCACTTAAAATTGCAATTAACAATTTCATTGGTGCCGGCGGGGATCGAACCCGGGTTACTCGCGTTCTGTTATATTTACAGCGAGCGTTAACCACTGAGCTACCACGGCTCATTCATATTTATAGATGATCCCTTTGTAATCCGCTTCCTTGGTACATCCGAGTATCTAACTAAATTGGTTATTAGAAGAGTACTGAGACAGTAGTGTCATCTCTTATTATCTTACGGAAATTGTGTATACTACTTTCTCTGTTGCACAGTTTCCGTTTGCCCGTAATTATTTCATGGTATTTTCTGACATCGGAATAAAATAAATTCAATATTTAATAAAATATAGATACTTACGAGTGAAATGTTACACCTTGGTCTTTATTTCTGTATCTAGAATTATAATTACACTTTCGAAAGACATACGATGGCATTCTAAGAGTTTTTTTTGTTTTGGTGACATCAGCGCGTTAGTTCAAATAAAGCGTTAGTGCAATGGCAATGATTAGCCAACACTAGTACTCACCCTAGTGAATGAAGTCAATTGTCATAGATCACAGTGTAACACAAAATACTTATTAAAGTTTATTAATTAGTTAGGGAGCATTTAAGTAAATTCTCATAACTCAGCTTTCCATTGACGTCCGTCGAATTGGGGGTTGATATTTTTTACAGAAAGGTTACGTTATTAGCACACAAGCAAAGTCAACATGCGGAGACGCGTAGTATTTGAGAAAAAAATTATTGATAATCAATTATTTTTGCAATATTTATGTCAATCCCTATGTCAGATTATATCGAATTCTTGCCATTGAACGTTCCGTTTTACGTACGTTAAGTTTTCATACGTTCGGTAACATTTTATTTGCAGTTGTTTCAAAATAGGCCAGGTCTATGTACACTACCTCATTAAAAAGAGAAATATCTGTAGAATTCGGGAAAAATACAGATAATTCATTTAAATTTATCCTGTCGTGGTAAACAATTGATGTTTATCAATTATTTTTAGTGACTTTCAACATGGCGTCTTACCGATTTAGTTACTCTGTGCTTATAGACAATGACAATAAACCATAAAGCGACCATTGATCATAGAAAGAGAACTATCAATTGTCACAACAGTGTCAAACATGGAGGTTAGAGAACAGGAGAACGATCGCCGTAGAATATAGTGTCCCAGAAATAAAAACACCATAAGTGAGGCGCTGCGATAGCTAAGTTCGCTCAATAAAAGTCATTTTCAGTCTATTTTCCCGATCATATACTAAAACACTGCACATCCACGTCCAATAAAATATATCCCCATTTTTTAATGTTTCTCAAAAATTAAAAATTTTCTCACCAATGCCGCGAAGAAAACTTGTGCATTTTTCAACTAACTTCATTTACTTGTATTCATAAACAGCTAACTTCGCAGCCACTACTCACCGACGGCAGCGCCGCTATAAATTCTACAAATTTTCAAGGACAGGCGGGCTATGCTATATTATGGCTTTAGTACGTAGCGATCGTTCTCCTGTTCTCTATACACCTGTTATATATACAATGTCATTCAATAATTATAAACGTGCTTAGAGTCAGTGGCCATGCTCGGTCTAGGGCAAGCCCAAGATATGGTTTTGAAGTTTTTAGCAGTTTTATAAAAATACACTCATCTTGATCTGCCTCCACTCTTTAGTTTCATATTTAGTGCTATCGAGGACGTGTTTAACAAAGCGCACAGAAGGCATACTACTGCTAGATAGATTGTATGACATATCAGCAATTGCATACCTTCGGTCATGGTGTCAAATATACGTGAAATAAACATGTCAAACGTCACTAATCAATAAAAATGGCAGCTTACCGCCGTGACAGGTTTTTGTTGTGTGTTGCAATTTCAAGTGTAATTTCCTGTGCTTTATCAGCAAACAAAGTCTATATAAAATAATTGGACAGTTGAGAACCGCTTAAAAGGCTCCATACAATTTGAAACATCTAATTTACGTTTGTAGGTACTCATTTCAATATTTTTCATGCATATACATAAATTTAACAGTTTATATTTAAATAACATAATTATTTTCATTACTAGCTATTTAAATTAAAATGTCTAGTGTTTACCGGCTTTTGCAGGCTTGTGGAACGAAACGTAAAACTGATGCTTTCGAAGATTTAATTAAAGCAATACTATATGTGTATAAAATTTATTAATAAATTATTATTAATTATTACGACTCCCACGTGCTACGAATCTGTCCTGTCCTACCATTGAGTTATACAACACTAGAGGAGCAAACCACATTACCGCGCGTCGAAAAAAGTGTAACCACTATCCAAACGCGACGACGTAGCTTTGAAACTAATAACAATTTTAAGTAAACATATATCTATCTCACTTACACAAGTTGCGAAAACAATATCGTCGCTAAGATTAGATAAAGATAGACACACAAACATGCAATGGCGGGTTGGTGTGGCTTACTATGTGAAATTTTACCTAAAATACGCAATAAAAATAAGCTGCAGTTAATTGTTTTTATATTAAAAAAGTATATTTTAATTTAAAATCTTTATTACGTCCCCTTATGAAATAAAGGATACAAAGCTTATCAGATGAATAGAAGTAAACATAATGATGAAATAAAACGTATTTTATGGTACTAATAAATCAAACAATATAAAATAGGTAATAAATAATAATTAATATAAAATAGGTAATAAAATATATTTAATAGATAATTCATTAATAAACTAAAATAAGAATAATGAATTATTTTGTATGAAAGTTAAAACGTAGTTTTTATTATAATTTCCAAAATATTTAAAATCAGAGGTAACACATTAACTTAATCCACTAATTATATAGTCTCCCATTAATGTAGGATAGTCACAAATACGGAAAAGTGGCAACATTGAACCTAAATGGCAATATTCGATAATTTCATTTAATTATTTGAGGTTTTTTACGTTTATATGAAAACAAGAACTTAAAATTATGTGTTAAAAGTGATTCCGCTTGATTTATTACGTTTTTGTGACCTTGAATAGCATTCTTTCACTACGCATTTACCCATTTTTGTCGCGGCTCAACTCTGTCGGCGTCACATTGAACAATGAACAAACATTAGCTAGGCATATGGCTGTGGCCATATGTGCAGTGGCAACGCTTTGCCGCGGTTATTACTGATCTAGTGTTATATAAATCAATGTGTCCTACCCCTAGAGTGTTTTTATAGATCCGTAGGCGCGTCGGGAGAGCAGCCTCCGCCTTCTGTAACAAATCGTGGGCATTAATTGGACGAGCCGGAGTGGCTGAGGTTGGTTGCCTTGGCGACCAACCAAGCCGAAGCTGCGGAGGCGAGGATGGATGCCTGCGATTTGTTCAGCAGGCGGAGGCTGCTCTTCCCGCAGCGCCGGAGACGTTGCCGTCTCAAAATAGATACAGAAATCCCTCTGAATCAGTCCCCCTATTTTTTTCTGATGAAGGGGCTTCCACCCTTCCTTAAGGGGAACTCCCTTCCCCCATTGGGGTCCCCCTGGTTTTTTACACTTAATATTAATCCATAAAATAAAGAAAATTTCCTCAGAATTAAAAATGAAAAAACTCGAAGAGAGTGGGGGGAGCTCCGAAACTTTTCCCCTCCCACCCTCAATTCGACGGACGTCAATGGAAATTCGTACCAATTTAGGTCTCGTATAATCTTAATTCTCGTAATTTTGTAACGAGACTAATTATAATAAAATTAGTTGTATAATTCTTATAAATGAGGGGTATACAAAGGTGACATTTGATTAATGTTTATCCCATGTATTGGTCTGAGACTACACAGATTACAGAGTACTGCCCGAAATGATTCATTTGAATAATCGATCTGAATGATCTCTGGTACGTATGACGAATAAGTACTTGAATGATTCAGTCACTAGAAATGAATGAATGACACATGTCATTTAACAAGTAACTTGTAGTCTTTGGGATGCAACGAAGAAAATAAAAATAGACTATTAAATTTTTTTTAATTTCTTGACAGGTAAAGGGGTTGTACCTGACGAATCAAAACAGTGTGTCTCGTCGGCGCGTACTCAAGCTCTACTCAAAGCCGATGTGATCCTTCTATTGGGTGCCCGCCTTAATTGGATGTTGCATTTCGGACAACCACCTCGATACTCACCTGATGTTAAAGTTATACAAGTAAGTTGTGTGCAATACAATATCCAAAACTTTACTTGTTTTTGAATCTTATATTAATATAAAAATTTTATACTAAATTGTCTTTAATATAAATATATTGTCTTGATGATCACATGACCTGGCTACTATGCTGCGGGTTGTGGATTCGAATCATGCCAAACCCAACATTAGTAAAAAAAAATGTTTATTGGGTCTGGTTGAGTTGTACTTGTCCCCTTGTGACTGCTGGTCCTGGTAGTGTTTTACTTGTCCGCTTGTCACTGACACTTCACCTTGATGTAATAGTCTCATGCATAGGTAATAGATTTTAAATCATCCGTTTTGTTTTTTGTGTCGTGATCCACGGCCAATTTTCTTTGTCGTTAAAAAATTAAACAATTTGTTCAAATAATTAGTTTATTTATAATAATACATAAACCGACTAATTATCATTTTACCTATAAGATAATTTTTTTAAATAACCTTACGCCAACACTAGAAATGTAAATTACGTTGAAAATAATTAGCAAAATCGTTTTATACAAAATGCAATCAAATAAAAGGATATATTATGTCATATTATACTGCTCGGCTAGTCTGCATCCCGTTGTTGTCAACATACCACGTATTCTAATCAAACAGTTTGCTTCAACATGCATCTTGCGGCCATCATGTCTTTCCATTTGTAGGTGTCATCAAGTCAAATGTAAATAGGCTTTTTTGTTAAGCTAAGTCAGTGCGTTTTAAATAACCACCTTACAATCATGTGGTATATTAGCACAGTTTAAAGACAGTGGATAAACGAATGTACTTGTGCAAAGCAACGGTGGGGGCACTGCAGGGCAGGGGGCGGACCCATAGAATAATATAATACATACATAATAGAATGTAGGAGTGGGCGGAGCCCGTGTAACCACTAAAATGTCACTAAAAATTAAACCTAACTAAAAATTAAAAATATAAATTTGTAAGTAAGCTGTTGAAAATTTCAGACATTATTTACTCCACTCATTTATGCTGCACACAGATTGAATCATAGAATACTATAATACATACATAATAGAACGGGGGAGTGGGCGGAGCCCGTGTAGCCACTAAAATGTCACTAACATGTCAATTCACACGTATAACTGTCAACACGAGATGTGTTTTGACGTTACAATTGTTTCCAAATTTCGCATGCAAATTATTTAGAAAATGCCAAATTGCACACTGTTTACAAATAAATATGTATTAAAATTTAAACGATTTTTTAATGATAATCTTGAACATCAATCAAAAGTCTAAAATGTTTAAATTTACTCAGTCTGTCAACACAGCGAATCGGTTTGTAGTAGTGATAATATGACGTAATTGCTTATATGTATGTGTGCTCCCGGCGACGCTGACCCTAGTACAAAATAAGGTTGACAGCCATTCTATTGTGTATTATAGTATTCTATGGGCGGACCGACCTTGTACTGGTGCACTGCACCGACTCCGATAGACAATACGTGCGGTTGGTGCGAGTGTGTTTTATAATAGTACCTACTTATTTAAGTAATTTCAAGTGCAGTTTTCGAAAAATTTTATATCTAGAATGGTGAACTATTCGCCCCCCCACTGCCTCCCCCCTTGACGAGACCAGTTTGGACTAGACGTGCTTAGTTTTTTTTATAAATTTTTAAATATCTCATTTTGAGGTTATGTTTTCATAATGTTTTGACAATAGAGAGAGGAGAGAGTTGGAGGAGGGAAGTCCCACGCCACTCAACGTGGCGCAGTTAAGGGAGGCCCGGTCGAGGGAGCCCTGCAAGCGGGTCTCCTACTTCTGAGTTTATAAAAAATAACCAAGAAGGGGATAGCGGGGTCTATTCGATCGCTCACTAGACTCTGCCGCCCCTTTCCTGTCCTGTCCGAGTCGGGGTGCCCTAAGTCCCGAGCTCGTTTCGCTAGCTCTTACACTCAATAAAACACCAAAATATTAACTTTTATAATTACTTTAAATTTAAACCTACCACCATTTGTAAAAATGAATCGAAGTCGACGAAAAACAGGTATGAGGCAGATAAAAACGTTAGGAAGCACATTCACGTAAACTCGGAAGCAACGAAATGACTTAAAATATATCTGTCACTCTCAAAGCCTAGCGATTCATTTTACGCATTTGTGATGACTTTGACAGATGCAATGTCAAAAACGTTATAATTTAGTTAAATGTACGTTCCATTTCACGTTTAGTTAGTGATTTACCAATATTTTTAAAAAATAATTAAAAATACTTCGACGCTGCTCCGGCAGCAACAATCGCATGGGGGTGCTTCAGATAAACCCCTTTGACCCCCCCCCCCTTCAGTGACAGAATCCTCAAATTCAGGCGACGTACTTTCAAACCCAACCCCGTAACTAATATAAATAACACATTTAGACGATTAAAAACTCTTAAGAATTTAAGATTTAGATTTTGATTGAAATAGAATAATTCTATTTCGTTCGCTTGGGCTTGGGTGTAATAAAAATGCATTGATTTAAATTAATTTTATTACAATTATTATATAATATAAAAATTGTGTTATACAGGTTGTTAGTGTAAACACCGTTATCCTTGAAACCAGTGGTTGGTTTTCACTTATAGAACGTAAATTCAATGAAAAATAACAACATTTTTTTTAGTAAAATCTCAATTTTTCCTTAAAATTACAAAGGGTAGAAATTTTTGCCGGTCCTAAGCCAGGATGAAAGTATGAAAGTAAAGTTACATCACAGGTTATGTGTACCTATTGTGTTTTATTGGAATGTTGTGTAGGTAGCTAGGGCGGGCGGTGATCTTTACAGTGATTACGTCACTCGGGGGCATAGGGTATCCATGAATTTGCGGACGGTGTCGGACAGAAACTTTTTAAATTTTATGAAAGAAAATAGCATTTTTTTAAAAAAAATCGGATAAATATTTTTATGTTAAAGCCAACTACCTATGGTTTTAGTGACAACGGTGTTTACACTTACACCTTATATAATTGGAACGAAACCTATTTTAAATAGGTAACCACAGACCTATGTAATCGAATTTTCGTTAGGGAACCGAAAAATGATTAACATAAAAATAGATCATCAATATTTCTAATCTAACCACGCAGTGTGCAATTTGTCAAGAAAATGTTAATGATTGTGTATCGTATTATGGTTGCAAAGGCCACCACCTCTGCTACGGCAGCGCTGGCCTGGAAGAAAAAAACTATCGTAGATACAATCAAGACAAGAAATCGGCATGGAGGTGCGTTCATTGCTAGAATACAAAAATGAACCATCGATCAACGAAGTCATATTGAAAGAGATCCGTGACGTTAAAGGTAGGGTGTAACTATATACCGGAATTGCTGGAAGATGTCAAGACCATCAAATGCGAACTAGAAGAGCTAAAAGACGCTTGTAATGCAAACAACAAGCGACCGGACGAGTTCGACGTCAGAATTACAACGATGGAGGAAAACGTATCAGAGATCAATCATATCAAGAACAAGCTCGCTATAACGCACGTTGATCTTGATCGTATTCACAGAACAGTGTTTTCGGCGGAATAATATCGAGATCAAGGGTGTGCCTACCTATTTCAATTTCATGAAGCTCTCTGGAAAGCCATCGATTTTGACGTCCTCAAATCCCAAGTAGATTATATCGCCCGAGTTTTTTCGCATAACTCCAAACATAAACTAATAATTGTTCGATATATAACGATTTAACACAAAATATCGATGCTACACAAAATAGGATCTGATTGGAGCAGCTCGCGCTAAGGATGAATTATACGCTGAGGATATAGGACTCACGGGAAGCAAGAACACATTTTTGTAAACGATCACTTAACACCACACTTTGAATCATTGCTGACGAAGGCCCTCGCTAAAGAGAAAAACTACAGCTATGTGTGGGTGAAGTTCGTCAAAATTAATGTGCGCAAAAACGATACCAATCATACTTTTATTGACAAAAAAAGTGATTTAAACAAAATTGCCTAATCAACCTTAAGTTCTTTATTTTTATATAACTTAATTCTATTAACTTCGCAAGCTATTGTATTTTGCAATGATATAAAAATGCTTCGCAACTCTGACCTACGTGCCTTCCCTATTTTGCTAATGTTTGCTCAGCCTCGCACTTGCCAAACCGGTTATAAATTTGTGCTACTTAACATCTATTCACTCGACCGCTTATTGTTTACTTTATACCTGCATTTATTATTTGTGTTATTTTTTCGCTTGCACTCTCTCGCTCGTTAAACATTGTTTAATTATTTATATATCTTTTTTACGAATATTTATTTTGTGCTCTGTGCCTATAAATTTTTAATGCCTCTGCCATAACTTTGTGTTTTATATTGAGACTCGTTCTTCATTAAAAAAAATGGACGACGTAACTAAAATAATCTAAGCATTTATTATCAAAATGTCCGCGGGCTACGTTCGAAAACAACGGTATTTTTCCTTAATCTATGCATGAGCTATAATTCTCACAAAACGTGGTTACTTGATGGAGTTTTCGACTCAGAATTATTCGACGATAAATATATTGTGTGGAAGCGTGATCGCGATTATTGATTGACTCATCAAACACGATTACAACCAACATATTTTTCTGCACATTACAACCAACATATTTTTCTACCGCTGAAGACTTATGGGTGACAATAACATTACACAATAATAAAATTAATTGCTATATCATGGCTTCTCAATAATGACTATTTTGTACCAACGGAAAACAAAATCATTGACAAAAATTAGACTTGGTCCTATCAAACTTCACTCAAGTAGTCTCCAGCTGTAGTGATCCTCCTGTTCTCATTGATCTACACCACGGGGCACCGCTTAGGCCTGCTCCTTGTGCTAGGTTTCTGTACAACAAAGGCAACTATACATCAATTAATGCCGAGCTGCTCAAAATCGATTGGGCTAGCGAGTTTCACTCTTCTTGAGTGAAACTCACTAGATGAATACGCCGATCATTTCTACTCAACTTTCCATATTCTGAGGGATATATTTATTCCATCCAAAACTATTGTCAAACATCAATATCCATCGTTGGTACTCTCGAGCGTTAATTAAGGTGTTCAAGGAATAATACAAATATCATAAAAAAATTAAAATTTACAATAACCGCAGTGATCATGAATCTATGAAATTACTTCGTGTTAGGGCAAAAGCCTTAGAGAGTAAATGTTAAACTGACTACCTAGCATCTGTTAAGAACTCTATTACTAAGCACCCTAAACACTTCTGGAGTTTTACAAATTCACGCTCGAAGTCAAACGTTATGCCTACTCTTATTATATAACTTCTTGGATGATAACAATACACAGTCCACCATCCACCCTCTATTGCGGATATCTCCAAAATCTACGTCAAAGAACAAACTGTCCTTAATCTCTTGGTCAAACTTACCCGTGTAAATCTGCTGGCCCAGATTACCTGGGTGTATTTTTAATAAATTGCCCAAGGTCATTAGTAACGCCTGTAACTCTCCTATTTAATAAGTCTCTAGCAGAATGTACTGTCTCTGCTATCTGGAAATCAGCCTTCATCTAGGGTGATTTACAATATATTATTTAATTTATACACAAAAAGGGCTCTAGAGCTCACGTCAATAACTGCAGGCCTATTTCCAAGTTATGCATACTAAGTAAAGTCCTCGAAAAAATAGTGTATTCCCAAGTATATTTAGCTATTAGACAATCACTACATGACTTCCAGCATGGTTTCCTCCCCGGTAGATCTACTGTCACGAACCTTGTTTTAATTAATGACTTTCTTACTGGTTTCATGGATAAAGGCCATCAAATTGATGTCATCTATACTAATTACAGAAAGGCATTCGACCGGATTAACCATAGCCGCCTCATATACAAGCTTGTATGTGTTGGCATAAGCGGAGATTTACTTCGCTGGTTTTCCTCGTATATTGAGAGCAGAACACAAGCTGTAGTGGTAAATAACTACATTTCTAGCTGGGTCAAGATCCCTAGTGGTGTTCCTCAGGGCTCGTTACTAGCACCTTTACTCTTTGCTATCTTTGTCAATGATATCAACAACTGCCTGCGTAACTCTCGTCTTTATGTTTAGCAGATGACATGAAAATCTTTTCAAATATTTCTTCATTAAAAGACGCAGAAGCACTACAAAATGACTTAAGAAACCTACTTGATTATTGTTTCTATACCCATCTCGATCTCAACCCTACAAAATGCTCAGTTGTCACATTTAGCCGTAAATCCAATAAATTGCTGTATGATTACCAGATTCGAGGCCAATCGTTGTGCAGAGAGTGTTCCATACGCGTCTTAAAAGTTATACACGACTCGAAACTTCTGTCGATAAACATAGAAAATATCATTGGCCCGTCTTCCAAAGCCTTAGGGCTTGTAATGCGTTGCTCTAAAAACTTCAAACTAATTAAAATCTTGAAAATTTTGTACTATCGCTACGTAAGAAGTATTTTGGAATATGGATCACAGGTATGGAACCCCCAATATAATACATATATATCTCGAATTGAACGTATCTATCTAGATGAAATTCATTAAACACCTTTGCTACCGAGTAAACGACCACTGCAACTCTAACCTATATTACAACAAATGTAGAAAGTTCCATCTCTTACCACTCGAGATGCGAAGGTAAATAGCAAATATTACCTTTCTATTTAGATAGTGTTGGCGGGAAAAGAAAAGGAGAGATCTCCCGCCGAGGTTTCGATGTGTTTCCGTTTCCAATGTGCCACAAGAGTTTCAAGCGAGATAGACTGTCCAGATCTACTTGCGAAATTAAATATAAATACTCCAAAAAATGTTAGACGAAAGGTCCCACTATTCGCGGCCAAGACTAATTATAGGCAGAATAGTTATATGTATCGTGTGAGCAAGAATTTTAATACTGTATCCCAATTGCTTAACTTAGACCTATTCAACACAAGTTTCATTTCGGCGAGACAAGTTCTGAGTAAGCCTTTTTCCGACTCCAGCCGATGATGATTATTTTTTTGTTCTTGTTAATCTGTAACGTTTATTTAATTACAGCACGATGTTACCTAGTTAAGATTAAGTTGGTGCGACAGTGTCCTATTAACTGTCAATAACTCACCACATGCAAATACTTATATAGTGTTACTAATTGCGAAAACCCATAAATGGTGTCCTATTGCTTAATTGTTTTCTACCTACTCTGTTACTTGTTAACCTAGGAATTTCCGATTAAATAAATAAATAACATAATATGAGCTTTAATAAAATATAAGACGTGATAGTGATAATTAATTGCCAATGATAAGCTAGATTCTTTTTACCATTAGTAGGGAACCCAAAAAATTCCGAAAAAAAGGATAGAATATAATCGTTTTAATTTAATACAGATTACAAGAATACTTATTACAAGTCATTTAAGCTTTACCACTGGTTCGGAAAAAACCATTGTCCTGGGAAGAACCAATAAGAAATCCAGCGTGACTTTTTTTAAATAAAATTAATTTAAAATACATTATTTTAGAATTAGTGTGATGAAAACACTTAAAGACAGCTTGGTAGCGACCATCTCATTCTCAGGGATTATTATCAACCATGTATACTCTTTAGTAATATATCCTAATAGTCCTTACTAAACAATATTTGCTTGGTAAAAATTTTAAACTTTGATAGATAAGGCCTGCATATTTTCTGGGACTTTTTTGTGAAAGCGTATATATTGCTTCGTGGAGGAATTACTGACTCTTTTGAGTCGAGTAACTGTTATAATTAACTTGTGCTTGTTCCTAGTATTTACAGAATGTACATCAATATCTTTAATAAAACTATTTTGTTTTTGTGTACATACATAAAATTTTCGTAAATATACTGAGAGGCCAAATGCGCCTTGAGAAGAGCCTATAAGTTATCACTTTTATGTTTGAACCGTTAGAGTAAGTAATACCTTCCCATGCTGCAAGTGTAAATTTTTAATTATTTATGACAATAAATCATGAATAATTACTATAATTTACTCATTGTCATGACAAGCCATAATGTTAAAAACCTTTTTGTTGAATAATTTGTAAACAACTGTCTTTTACTTTCGAAGGTTCTTCTTTCGTTTCCTTCTTCCGTTGTGTATAAAATACAAAATACATTAATCTTTAGTATCAAAACGGACGCTGCAAGTTACACTCGATTTGGATGGAAGCCAATCATTTTCCTTTCTATTCTCTCTAATTATATTAAGTTTTTTCTCCATACTTCATTGCTTATTTGAACCTTATTATTGAATATTATTATAGAAACTTTAAAAAATATAAAGATTTATGTACTAACATTTTTTTATTTGCTATTGCTAATAGCAAATAAAATTTATCTACTAAGTTAAACATGGCATAAAAAAATTAAATCACAATTGCAGTACTCTGTGGTGGACTATGGTGGTAAAACACTTTTAAGAACCTTCTTAACCGTATTATAATCGGTCCAATTTTCAGGAAACGGTAACATAGTAAAAAACAAAATTCACGATTGCAGCGCAACACAGTGAATACCAAACCAAAAATGCATAAAACCGCATTATAA